TGCGGCGGCGCGTTCTTGCTCGCCCACGACGCCGACGCCGGGAGCGACACCTCGGGCGCCTTTTTGACGGCGGTCGACGAAGGGGCGGCCGCCTTGGGCTTGGACACGGTCTCCGAGTCGTACGTAAAGATCTCGTCCTTGGTCGACGGGAGCGGGCCCTCGATCTCCTCGCCCGGCTCGTGGGCAAACGTGCAGTTGTAATCGGGGCACCGGATGCCCTTGAGGTAGTTGGGGCAGTAGCGCGTCGTGCCCCACATGGCGCGCAGCTTGTTGCCCTCGAGCGACAGGGTCCCGTCGGTCGCGGCGATGCAGTGCGACGCCTCGGTCGGCGTGCGGTAGCACACGTAGACGCTCACGGGCTGGTACACCGGGTGCGACAGGCCGGGTGCGCTGCCCGACGTCGGCGAGCGCTTCGACATGAAGAGGCGGCTGATCTTGCCGTACTTGCCAAAGTGCTCGTTGTCCTTGAGCTGGGCGAGCGTCTGTGGTGGGCGCGAAGGATGAGGTCAGTAGCCGGTCGAAGGAGATACAGAGAGAGGCGAGAAAGAGTCGGGACGCACATCCTCGTTGGCCTGCCGCGTCGTCATGCCCGTGATCTGGACCTGCGTGCGTTGGCGGACGCGAACGTTGGCCTTGTTCTGCATGGCGAGCTCCGAGTCCTTGCGGCGCTTGTCGCGCAGCTTCTTGGCCGCTTGCAGGCGCTTCATCCTGAACGGGCGAGACCGAGGGTCAGCTGCCGGACGACGAGAGAGCGACGAGGGAGAGAGGACGAGGACGCACTCGTCGGGCTTGATCGCCTTGAACTCGACCGTCGCGTCGTCATAGGGCGTGCGACACGCCGGGCACTTGTTGTTCAGGTTCTCCTTGATGTGGTGGTAGCAGAACCTGCAGATCTGCGGGCGGACGAGGAACAAAGGGGGAGGGAGGGGCGGTCAGCGTCGGCGCGACCGAGGCGCGAGTAGACGAGGAGCGAGAGGGACGCACCTGGTACCCGCATGGACACGGCCGGAAGTTGAGGTCGGACAGGTCCATCTCCTCGAGGCAGAGCGGGCAGTCCATGTCGTCCTGCGGGGCAGGGGGAGAGGGAGGTCAACAGGGTGCTCGAGCTCGCCAGGACTCGGTGCTTGCGCCTCCTGACCCTCGCGTATGCTCGACGAACGCCCCGTCGCTGTCCACGCCGTCTCGCCCCAGCACCGCGCACCGTCGCGAGATGAGGGAGCGAAGTTGGCCGCGCTCGTCGCCCCGGCCCTGCCGCTCCTGTGCGGCGCACTGCCCTCGCGGAACCCGTCTATCCACCTTGTGGCGGCTCGCTCACGCACTCGAGCCCGGCGGAGGGAGCGAGAGGGCGCCTCGAGGCTGACTGGCCCTGGCGCCACAAACCGACCCTCGCCGGCCGCAACTCCTCGACGCGGCTCTGCAAAGCCCGCCCCGGCCGAAGACACACACAGGGAAACAGGGCGGAGAGAGAAAGGTGGGGACGCACCTCGAAGCCGTCGAGCATGGCGAGGACGCGGTCGAGCAAGGTGCTCACGCTCGACACGCCGGCCGGGTCACCGTGGTGGGCGTGGTGGCTGCTGTGGATGTGGGGCGGGACCTGGTGCGAGGGCTGTGCGCCCAAGGGCGGGTACGCCGAGCTGCCCGTCGGCGTCGCTGCTGCGCCTGGGGCCGTCGTCGTCGGGTGGGCGGCCCACGCTCCTCCGGGACGCGACGCCGCTTGCGAGTAGGCGCCGTGTCGCATGGCGGGTGTCGTCGTCGGGCTTGCTGCTGGTGCTGCAAGTGGGCGCGGTCGCAGCTTGGGGCGAGCGAGCGTCGAGGCGGGGTCGACAGCGGGCCGTCGCTCGTCTCGCTCCTCGAGGTTCGACCAGGCCTCGACCTCGTCCTTTCCACACAACCCTCTCGCGCTCTCGCTGAGTGGCACACACACGCACAGACAAGCTCAAACCTCTTCTGTACAAACTGCTCGGGTGAAAGCTGCCTCCAACTCGCGACGACTCGCCCTCCTTCCTCTCCAAGCTCTCCGTCTCGCTCCTCCTCGAGGCTCACCAAAGCTGCGCGCTCGCGAGACGGCGTGTCAGTCGCCTGCTCGCCGTCGACGTGCGCACAGGAGAGAGAGAGAGGGACGCACCTCGCACCGCTCCTCGCCGCGGTTCATCGGGCTGTCGGCCGCGCACCCGAACGCCTCGCTGAACTCGCGCGAGTTGCTCAACGGGCCCAGGACGCGGAATCTCGACGGCGAGTGCGGGTCGACGGCGATGCGCCGCTGCGCCTCGGCGGGCGTCATGGCGCGCGCCCACCCTTGCGCCTGCGCGATGAAGAAGAGCTGCTCGCGCGAGTAGTGCTGCAGGCCGGGCAGGAGCTGGTTGCGCGACGGGTCGGCGTCGGCCGCGTGCGCGCGCGTCGACCACGCCTGGAACGACTCGGCGATGCCGCCGCTGTCGGCGCCGTCCTCGCCGCCCGTGTACTTCGAGTTGACGTAGTGCTTCTTGCCGTCGGCGCCGATGATGGAAAAGTTGCCGTACTGGCGCTCGAAGCACGCCTGGCGCTCGAGGAAGCGCTTGTTCGTGTCCTGCGTGCGAGGGTGTACGAGCGTCAGTGAGGGCGCGAGACCGGGACAGGGAGAGCGAGGGAGAGGCGACGCACAGGACCCCACCAGTCGACGAGCTTGCCGTTGCCGTCGTACTGCCGCCCGGCTTGGTCGAGGCTGTGCGTGAGCTCGTGGCCGGCGATCGAGCCAAATGCGCCAAAGACGAGGTACTCGGGCCTGCGATGGACGAACAGGACGAGGTCAGTGTGCGCGCTCGTGAGGAGAACGAGGGGAAAGGCGGGGGCACCAGTCGACCGAGAAGAAGGGCTGTGCCAGGGCAGACTGTCAGAGTGCGGCTCGTGTAGACGGAGGACGAGGCGAGACGCACCTTCTGGAGAATGCCCGCCGGAAAGACGATTTCATTTGCGGAAGGCTCTGTTGGGGGAAAAGCTCGCGGTGAGCGTCCCTCGTCTCGCCTCAAGCGTCTCGCCTCAAGAGTCGCACAGAGAGAGACAGAGTGGGGCGCACGGAAATAAGCGTTGACCTCGGAAACGGCCATGTCCCACTTGCCGGGGTCCTGAGGGCGGCCGACCTCGACCCACTTGCGGCGCTCGTCGGCGACGACGGCCCGGAGCGAGTTGCCGAAGTAGTCGCCCTTGTTGATGGGCATGTTGGGCGCGTAGTACCGCTCGAGCGACGTCGGGTCGGTCGTGTTCGGCGAGGTAGGGTAGCCGACCTGCAGACGAGGAAGGGGGTCAGGGCGCGGTTGGGGACCGAGGTCGTGGAGCGGGAAGCGGTCGCGACGCACCTTGACACGAATCATCTCGACCTTCTCGCGGGCCTTGTCGCGCGTCTCGTCGTCGAGCCAGGTCCTGCCCGGGAGGCGGTCCTTGAACGCCTGGATGACGGCGTGGATGACCTCCTCGGCGTACTCCTTGCTGTCGCCGCCGAACGCCTCCTCGACAAAGTAGCGCCCGACCGCGAAGCCGAACGCCGAGACGACCTCGTTCAGGCACGTGTCGTCGCGCGGCGGCGAGACGTCGGCGGGGAGGCCCTTGAGGCGGTTCGACAGGGCGAGGACCGTCTTGTGCAGCGGCTGCTTGGCGCCGAGGAGTGGGGCGAGCTGCGAGTCGACGACGAGTCAGTCTCTGAGGGACGGGAAAGAGAGAGAGGAAGGAGGAGGCGAGCGAGGCGCACCTGCTGCGAGATCTGGACGACAAAGTACGCCTCGAGGACGTCGGGCGCCGTGTGCTCGAGGAGCGCCGACAGGTTGCCCATGTAGGTCGGGGCGCGCACGATGACCGGGTCGGGGAAGCGAGGGCGAGGCGTGAACGACGCGAAGTAGTCGGCGAACGAGATGGACGGGAACAGGTGCGCGAGCATGCTCGCGTTGTGCGGGTTGTACTCGCCAGTCGGGTTGTCGATGACCTCGCTGTGGACCTCCCTCGAGAAAGTCAGTGGGTCGCTCAAACAGGAGGAGGGGCGAGCGAGGACGCACGGGTCGAGCGAGATCTTGGCGATGGCCTTCTCGAACTTGACGACCGACGCCGCGAGGTCGCCCATGTTCTTCTCGCCGCGGCGCTTGTACACGTCGGCGAGGACGTCGGCGACGTTCTTCTCGTAAAAGTCGAGCGTCTCGGCGCTCTTGTAGTACTCCTTGGACGGGAGGCCGAGGCCGTCTTGGGTGAGCCACAGGACGACGGACGACGAGTTGACGGCGACGTCGCTGTCGGTGTAGGTCGAGAACAGGGCCGGGACGCCGCGCGAGTGCAGGTAGGCGAGGGCGTTGGTGAGGCGCGTGCGGCTCGTCTTGGGGTCCCACTTGCCGCCGCCGCCGCCGTGCTTGTCGTGCTTCTTCTTCTTGTGGTGCTTGAGCGGGGCGACGCCGTTGATCTCGAGGAGCCACTCGGCGTCGTCCTCTGGGTCGACGACGTCCTCGTCGACGAGGGGCTGCTCGCCGCGCCACAGCGAGACGACCTCGTCGACGACCTCGAGGAGCGGCTCGCTGCCCTTGTTCTCGAGCGCCTCCTCGTCGAAGCACGAGCCATAGAACGTGCGCAGCGTCTCGAGGATGCGCGCATCGGCGCCGTCGACGCCCTTGTCGCTCGTGCGCTCGAGGACGCCGCGCACGATGCGCTTGTTGCGCGCGTCGATGTCCTCGAACGCGCCGTACGAGCCCTTGCCGCGCGGGATCGGGTGCGAGTCGAGCCAGCCGCGGTTGGCAAACAGGTACGGGTCGACGCACGGGTCGTACGACGTGTCGAGCGACGCGAGGATGCCGGCGGCGGCCTTGACGCACGCGCCCGTGAGGCACAGCTCGTCGGGGTCGGACGGCGGGGCCGGCGGCGCAGGAGGGACGCCGGTCGGGCCTGGGACGTGTGTCGTGCGGGTCGCCGTGACGGTCGAGGTCGGAGCAGGAGCGGGGGCGCCGGGGTGGTGCCGCGACACGCGGTGCTTGAGGCGGCCGTACTTGACGGCCTCGCCTCCGAACAGGCCGGCGAAGGTGGCGGTCGACAGGAGGAACACGACGGCGAGGGCGGCAAGAGCCTTCTCGAGGGCCGTGAGCCGCTTGGGCGAGCTGAGGGCGGTGCGGAGGCGAGTGCCGAGCGGCTCGTCGGCAGGGTCGACGGCGTGAGCGTCTTCGCCCAAAAGGGGCTCACGCTCCTCGTCGGGTGCGTTTGTGCTCATCGTGGGTGCTGATGAGCTCGTCGAGAGGTGAGAGGGCGAGAGAGGACGGATCGAGGGAGGCCGACGGCTCTGAGGTCGTCAGGTGGGGATTCCGCCTTGAAACTCTCAGACCTCGAGCCGCAGCATCTCGTTTCGCAACTGTGAGGAGCCACGATTCATTGCAGTATTACATAGATGCGCTCGCAAAGAAGGGGAGCGTGTGAGATAGTCATGTGCGCGGTGTGCGAGAATCGTCCGTCTCCTCGCTCTCGTCCTCGTCCTTCTCCTCGGCCGGGCCTCGCCCCCTGACCATCCAGCACTCGCCCGCTCAGTATCGCTGCTGCTGCCCGACGTCGTGGTACGCCGACTTGGCCGATGGGCCCGAGGTGTAGCCAGGCCGCATCGCCTCGTCCCCTCGCGCGCCGCCCGCCTGCAGCGGGATCGCGCTGCCCTGGCTCAGCGGCGACGTGCCTTGGTCCGAGTCGAGGCTCGCCAAGTACCGGTGCGTCGGGAGGATGCCGCCGGCGCCGTTGCCGTTGCCGCTGCGGGACGCGCCGGCCGCACCAGGACGAGGCGCCGTCTCGTGGTCGTCCTCGGCGTCCGAGTCGAGGCGGTCGGCAGAGGGCGTTGCGGGGATGCGGGGCGAGAAGGGGAGGTGGCACTGAGGCGAGTAGAGCGAAGGGTAGTCTGTGGTCGAGCGACGAGTCAGTCACGAGCTTGCGAGAGGAGGAAAAGGTGGCTCGAGGCGAGAGAGGGAGACGCACAGAGGTGATAGGTGAACACGGCGATGACCGTACCGAGCAGGCCGCCGGCAATGACGTCCGTTGCGTGGTGGCGGTAGTCCATCGTGCGCGAGACGGCGATGAGGGTCGCGCCAATGAGCGGCGCGATGGCCAACCACGACTTGAACGCGTGGCCACGACGGTCGTAGATGTGCATCTTGCCCGACAGGTACAGCGAGAAGTAGACGAGGCCGGCGAAGGCGACTGCGGGAAGGAGAGCGCGTCAGGATCGGGCGAGGTGGGTCGGGCGAGGGAGTTGGGAGGCGGGACGGTCGGGAGGCGCACGCACATGAGGAATGGCCACTCGGGAAACTTTTAAATCCGTCATCTATGGTGTGCCCGGACTGGACGGTGCAGACGGCGACGGTCGCGAGGCCTGGGGGCGAGAGGGGAGGTCGTCAGGCTCGTCTCGCTCAACTCAGACCGACAGACACAGAGAGAGAGGGTGCGCACCGTACACGGCCCTGTTTGCGGCGTCTGCGACTGGCTGGCAGCGGTCGATGAGGTCGGGACGAGGGCGGCCGACCGTGACCTTGACCGCCTGGGTGAAGACGGTCGTGAGGCTGACCGACAGGAGGAGGCCGAGCCACCCGTTGTGCCAGTCCCAGAAGGAGCGGCGCCAGATGAGGGCGACGAGGAGGATGAGGACGGCCGGGATGACGCCGGCGTACACGATGCATTCGCCAAACGAGATGCGCTGCTTGGTCGCGTACGTGTGCTGGATCGACGTGTCGGTGAGCGAGAACTCGCGCTTGTAGCCGGCGTAGTCGGTGAAGTAGCTGTGTGTGTGTGTGTGTTCGAGTCAGTGAGCTGCGAGCCGGGAAGAGGGGAGGAGGGGAGAGGACGGACCCGATGAGGGCGACGAGGACGATCGTGAGCCTGCGCACGCGTCGAGAGGTCAGCTCAATCCGCTGCAGACCCACTCACGGCGGACGTACACCCAGTCTGCACGGAGGAGAGGCGGGTGGTCAGCAATCGAGATGATGAGGTGGGGGCGGTGCAGGGTGGAGGGGAACGACGCTGTCCAACAGGGTGGGCTGGCAATGCGTGCAGCCTGTGACCTCGTACGAGAGTGTCCAGCCCAGCCGTAGACCTGCCCTCGCGAGCCGCTGACCGCACGAGACCGCCAAGACGAAGGGACGAACCTGGGGCATAAGAGGCGACGAGGCGCCAGCGACGATGCGGGTCCATGCTGCCGCGCTTGCTGTCGGACGGCCCTTTGACGAGGCGGTGGAAGAAGTCCATCGCGGGTGGTAGGCGAGATGAGCGAGGAGGGGAGGGGAGCGGGGGCGAGTTCGACGAGTCTTCGACGAATCGCCCGCGGCGGCTGTCGGGCATTGCGAATTTACGCGCGAGCCAGACCCTAAAGTAGGCGTCTCTCGAGTTGCCCACGGGATTCAACAGGAGCTCGACGTTTAGAGGTGACGCGCGCTCGCACCCCTCGCCGCAGCTGGCCGCACTTCTCGCTCCGAGTTCGCCGGCGGGCCGCCAGTCGACCACGTCCACGTCGTTCGCTCGTCGCTCTCGTCCACTGCACGCGGCAGGAGCTTCCCTTGCAGCTGCGAGCGCGTCGGTGCTCGCACGGCGACGGCGTGCTCTCCGCTCGAGCCTGCGGACCGTCCGCGGACCCTCCCCCGCACTCTCACTTCTCCCGCTCAGCTTTCGCTCCTCGAGCACGGCAGCCTCTCGCCTGTTCGTGCGTGCGCATGGCTCGGCGCATGACACGCTCGCTCGAACGCTGGCGACCGCCTCCTCGTCTGTTGGTCGCCGTCGCGCTTCTCCCGGCTCGCGCACTCGCCGCCGACCGCCAGTTCACCATCGTCAACTCGTGCGACTTTACGGTCTGGCCCGCCGTCACCAATTGGAACGAGGGCGCCAAGTACACGGGCGTGCGCGGCTGGGAGGCGGCGGCAGGGAGCGAGAAGTCCGTCACGGTGCCCGAGAGGTGGAACGGACGAGTCTGTGCGTCCTCTACCTCCCTGTCGTCCAGCTCCTGGTCGTCACTGACCCTCTGGAGCGAGACAGGGGCACGTCGAGCGTGCAAGTTCGACGCCGACGGCAAGGGCTCGTGCGTCACGGGCGATTGTCCTGGCGGCCTCGAGTGCGACGACAACACGATCGGCTGGGTCAACGTCGGCGAGTTCAACCTGAACGCGTGGGGAGGGAACGACTGTGCGTCTCGAGCTCTCGCTCGTCTCCCTGCGCCGAGTCGAGTATTGACATCGCCCTCCCTCGCAGTTTGGGACATCTCGGCCGTTCCAGGTGCGTCCTCCTATGTCTCTCTCGACGTCTGCCCCTTGGGCGCCGGGGCTCACCTGCACATCGCCGACAGGGTGGACGGGGCCGATGTCGATCGAGCCGGACGGGTGCGACTCGCTGTCGTGCACCGAGGACGTTCTCGCCGCATGCCCCGACGACCGCATGAAGCAGTGCGTCTCTCGCTCTCTCCTTCTTACACCGTCCAGGATGAGGTACTGACCGTCTCGACGAGTCGCATTCCCGCAGGAAAGACGGCGACGGCAACGTCATTGGCTGCCTGAGCGCGTGCATGGCCGGCATCAACGCCGTCGAGCCGAGCGTCAACTGCTGTGTGAGTCCTGCAGTCGCCCCTCTCTCTACGTCACCGAAAGCAGACACTGACTCGTCCCCTACCCCTCTCGCAGTCCGGCAAGTACAACAACGTGACGGCGTGTCTGCCCGGCGACGTCGACTTTTACGAGTGCGTCGTCGTCCTTCTTCTTCTTCGTCCCTTTCTCGCTCCCTGGCCTCGGTCCGTCACCCACTCGTGACTGACGAGCTTTCCTTACAGTGTCCTCAAGGTGCACCGTCCTCCTCTCTTCGAGACGAGCGCTTCGTCCTTGCCGACCGTTCTGATTTTCGCCCACCGTGCAGCCGCTTTGTGAACACGCATACTGGTGCGTCACTTCGTTCCTCATGTCACCTGTCGCACGACGAACAACGTACCGAGATGCTGATCCTCGCCGCCCCGAAACGCAGGTACCGTGTGTCCCTCCCTCCCTTCCTCCTCGCCAGTTTCTTTCCCTCGTCCTGACCTTGCTGCCCCGGTACAGCCTACGACTACCAGAAGGGAGACCCAGCCGTCGACTACGCGTGCCCGTCGGCAAACAGCCCGAACTACAAGGTCACGTTCTGCCCCGGCGGCAAAAGCTCGTCCTCGTCGGCGAATTCGAGCGGAGCGAGCGGCGGGGCGGCGGACTCGTCGGCGACTAAGGCGCGAGCCGACGCGGCGACGACGCTTATGGCGGAGGAGATGTCGTCGACTGAGGCGGCGGGTACCGGCTCGACGAGGAGCGGCACTTCGACCGCTCGTCCGACGGCGGCGACGAGCAACGCTTCCTCTGCCGACGAGCAGCAGCACAACAGCCTCTCGACGCCGACGCCCAACCAGTCCGGTTCGACCTCGTCACCGTCGCCTGCAGCAGCCGCCTCGACCGACGAAAGCGCCTTTCTCGGCGTCTCGAAGCCGGTCGCCCTCGCCGTCGTCGGCTGCGCCGTCGCCCTCGTCGTCATCGGCCTCGCACTCGCCCTCTCACGACACTCGCGCCGTCCGACACAGGCGGCCTCGCTTGGGAGGCGGGCACGACGGGCGCGCCGGGTGCAGGAGGTCGCGAGCAGCGACAGCGAGTCGGGGCAGGACGAGCGCGAGGGCTCTCGAGAAGCCGGTGCGGCACCTCTCTTTCCTCTTGGCCATCGATTCGACCTTACGGCTCCTCTTTCCGCCTGGCAGCTCGACCACCACGGCGCATTCGACCACGGACTGCGACGAGGCCGCTTCTGGGCGCTGGAAGAGCGTGAGCATGCAGGGCTGCAACGACGGACACACTTTCTCTTGCGTAATCTTGTCAGCGAAACGTGTGACTCTCGAGCGCGAGTGTCCACTGGCGAGAGCTTTGCCGCCGAGAGAAAGAGTCGCTCGAGCGCGAGCGCCTGGCACGCTTCGTCCGGCAACGTAACGCGTTCTCTGCACGTTGCGCGCTCTTCTGATACGGCGCTTTCGTCTATGGCTGCCTAAAGCTACAGACCGAGAGCTGTACGAGGTCGAATCGGCCGCTCTCGCAGGAGGAGGTCCAGTTTGAGAAGGCCGACTCGCGCGCTTTGACCCCCCTCGACTCTCAGCTCTCGAGGGGCCGCGAATAGCACGTGGTCAGAGCCTTCATGCGAATCTTAGTCTACAGACTCAGCGGGCCAGCCACATCGCGTCCGTTTCCGCGGCGACGAAAATCGCGAGACCTGTTGCCGGTCGCTCGCTCGCCAGCTCGTGCGCCTCGCTCTCCCCCTCCCTCACCACCCGCTCCCGCGATCTCGCGCTCTGCTTCGTCGGCCAGCCTCTCGGCATGCTCGCACACCCAAGCACTGCGCCGAGCGCAACCGCGGCGCGCTCCTAGCCTCCCCCTCGATCCCGCCTCATCGCCGACCCGCCTCTCCTCCCCGCCTCCTCACGCCCTCACCACCGCACCAGCGCCTCCAACACCCACGCCATCTGCTCGACTGACCTCAAGGAGCAGCTTGCGGCGGCGGCGCTCGCCTCCTGCGCCGTTCTCGCTCGCGCACTTTTTACCTCGCCTGCTGGACCGCACCCGGCTCGTATCGCCGTTCGGCGCCTCGAGGGCAGCCGAGCGCGCAACAGCGGCATCGCGACACGGTCAACATGCTGTGCGTTCAGCTTCTAGTCTCTTCCTCCCACGTTCCTCGCCCCCTCTCCCTACCCGCACCTCCCCTCCCCTCCCCAGCCCCTCTCCCCCCTCCTCCCGTCTCAACACTCTGGCGTACCGCGCACCTCCGCGCTCGGCAATTTTTCGCGAGACAAGATCACACTCCCTCGGGGTTTTACTCGAGGGCTCGCTGCGCGCCTTTCTTTCGGGATGGGCGCGTGGCGTGCGGACCGGCAGACACCTCGCCCCGCCATTCCTGCTGAACCTCGCCACTTGATTGGGGCTTGGTGAGGCAGGCCTAAAGGGGGGAGGTTGCGCCGTTTGTCGACATTCCCTTTGTGTAGCTTTCCCTCCCTCTTTCCTCGCGTCGCCCAGGTGCAACGATCCTCCTTTCCGAGTCCTTTCCTCTCTTTCGCCGAGGACACGAGAGCGACAACGAGAGCTGCACGACAGAGAGAAGAATCGTCCATTGCGCTCCCCTCGCTCCTCGCGCTCGCGCCCCTCCCTCCCTCTCGACCGACCTCGCCCTCGCCCTCACCCCAGTCCCAGCCCCAGCCTCGCGCCCCACCCGCGCCCGCTCAGCGCCTCCGTCCCGGCCTCGCCGGCCTCGCAAACTTGGGCTTGTCGTCCTCCTGCACCTGCTGCGGGCCCTGCGTGGGCGTCGCGGCGCCGCTCGCCGAGGGGGTGTCGGTGGACGACGACGCGGCGCCGAGCTCGGCGTCGAGCCAGGCGCGGGTGATCTCGGAGGGCGAGTCGGTTTCGAGCTGCGGAGCAGAGTGGGAGGCGAGGGGAGGCGGCGGGAAGCGGGAGAGGGAGGAAGGGACGGGCGGGTTCGAGGAGAGGATGCAGGGAAGAGCGAGTCAGTGCGCTGCGTCCCGAACAGTCCTCGAGAAAGAGAAGAAAGAGAGAAAGAGAATGAGAGAACGAGAGCGAGAGAGAGAGCGTCCGTAGACGCACCTTCCTCGCCACCTTGACGCCCGCAAACCTCTCTGCGGCGACGCGGTACAGCGGCACGACGGCCGACGAGTACAGGAGCCTGTGGCGGACGGGCGAAGCTGCCGGGCACGAGTAGACGAGGACGAGTGCGCCGGGCGACGACGACGCGAGGGCCGGGTGGCGCGCGAGGAGGTAGGCCGGGGAGGAGGTGGGGAGGGACGAGAGCGAGGTGGGCTGCGAGGGCGAGAGGATGACGGTCTCGTTTGCGGGGTCGATTTCCTGCGTCGCGGGGGTCGACATCCTAATCAGTGTCGCGCACGAGGTGCGGGAACGGACAGGGCAGAGCGAGAGAGGCGGGACGCACGAGCTGCACGAGGGCGTCCTCCTCGGCCCCTTGTCCGCCGTCACCGAGCGCCCTCACCGCCTCCTTCGCCTCGTCACTCCACGGCAGCACTCCCCTCAGCTTCTCATCCCCTTGTCCCTCCTCCCCACCCTCCCCCTTCCCCTCCCCTTCGCCCTCCCCCACCCCAAACAGCGCGCTCCTCCCCTCCGACCCGGCCCCAGCTCCGTCCGCCGACGCCTCTGCCTCGGCCCGTCGCACGTCGCGCATCTCCTGCTCGCGAGAGGTGAGCGGCGCGTCGGCGGCGCGGTGCGCGACGTGAGAGAGGTAGGCGGCGTGGGTGAGGTCGGCCTGCGGGGCGCGAGCGCAGGGAGGGAAGAGGGGAGAGGACAGGGGAGGGGGCCGATTCGGGTGGGCAGTGAGGTGGAGGTTGAGCGAGAGGGAGAGGCGCGCCGAGGACGGGAGAAAGGTGGGAGGGGGAGAGGGTGGGCGGCGCCGAGGAAGTCGAGAGGGAGAGGGATAGGGAGGACAAGGTGCGACGAGAGTCAGTACCCTCGGCACGAGAGCCACCTTGCGCGCTCGCTCGCTCGCTCGCTCGACCAAGAGAGAGAGAGAACCACGCGCGCACGCACCTTTGCGGTCGCAAACACGCTCTCGACCAGCCTGGCGTCGCCGAGCGCGCGCACGAGCGTGTTGCGGGTCGAGGCGTAGAGCATCTTTGCGCGCACGGGCGCGTGGTCGGGGACGTAGGACGTGAAGAGGAAGGTCGAGGACGGGGGAGGGGTGAGGCTGCGCCGGGTCGGAGGGGAGGGGTCAGTGGGGGGCGGGGGACAAGAGAGGGAGAGGAGAGGGCGCACCGGTAGACGAAGTAGGCGGGGACCTTGTCCTCGACGATGTCGGGGCGCTCGAACAGGGCAAAGTCGCGCTCGACGGCGTCCGAGTCGTCCAGGTCCGACGAGGTGGTGGTGAAGGTGCCGGCGGGCACGAGCTGCTCGTCCTGGATGGCAATCTGTGCGGGCGCGAGGGAGTATCAGCTCCAGATCCCGAGGCACAACAGCCCGCCTGACCCTGTGCGCAGTGCAGAGGAGCCGGCGGGCGGGGAGCAATGACGGCGAGGAGGCGGCGGAGGGACGCACCTTGACGAGGCGGGTGGCCGGGTCCTGGAGGGCCGTGGTCCAGGTGTCGAGGAGGTCCTGGGTCGGTGCGATGCCACTCTGTGCGGCCATGGCTGCTGTGTGGGTCGAGGTCGGAGCCGGTGAATGTGGGGAGAGATGAAGGAGGAGCAAGAGGGAGCTCTCCCGCGTCGACTCGACCCCGTGCAGTGCAGCTACGAGCACCAACACGATGAGCACCAGCCCACTCGCAGCCTGTGCGTCCTCCTACCCCCTTTCCTCCCCATCCTCGCTCACCTCCTCCTCCTGCTCCCGTCGCGCAACAGACCTCCCTGCCAACGAGGGCGGCCTCCTCCCCTACTGGATGCTCTTTGTCTCGTGCGCCTTCTCCTCTCTCCTGCCTCGTCTCTACTCGTACCGAGTAGCTCACCGGCTCGCGACCCTCGGCGCCGGCAGCGCGACCGCCGTGTTCAACTCTGTCCAGAACTACCTCACCACGTCCCTCACGCGCCAGGTCTACGCGCGCTCTCCCGCATCGGGTACGTACCTCCTCTGTCCCCTCCCGTCCCTCGCCTCGCAAACCGGGCGACGCGGCTCACCCTCCCTCGTCCGCTCGCGCCCGCAGTCAACCCGCTCCAAGCGCGCCTCTTTGGCGTGTGGACCCTCACGTCGGCGTGCGTGAGGCTGTACGCCGCGTACAACATTGGGGTCAAGCCGTGCGTCCACCGACCATGCCCTCTCGAAAGACGACGACGGGGCACTGACCCACTCTCATTCCCCTCTCCATCCTTGCCCGCTCTCTTTCCCTCCCTCTCCCTCTCCGACGCCCGCACCGACAGCGTCTACGACCTCGCCCTCCTCACCTACGCCATCGCGCTGTGGCACTTTGGCTCCGAGGCCGTCGCGTACCGCACCGTCGGGCACAAGGGGCTCGCCGGCCCGCTCATCGTGTCGAGTGCGTCGCGCTCGCTCGCTCCCTCTCGTTCTCTCTCTCTCTCTCGCTGTCACGACGAGGAAAGAGACTGATAGCTGGATGGACTGGCGACACAGCGACGTCGCTCGTGTGGATGTGGCAGCGTGCGTCGCCCTCTCTTTCTCTCTCTCGCCCCCCTCTCTCGTCAGGCCGCCCTGACACACTCGGCGCTGCGCGCAGAGCACGACTACTACGTCCGGGCTTGATCGGGGCGAAGCCGTCGGGCGTGGGACGAGCGAGAAGAGTCAATGGTGGGGAGGCGAGGGAGGAGGGTCCGAGCGAGCGAGCGAGGCGGGTGAATGTAGCCTCTCGTCAGAGCACTTCTCGTTGCTGCGCACAACACGAGAGCGAGACCTGCGGCGACTCGGAAGCTTTCTCTCGGTGCGCTTGCGAGAGAGCAAAGAGAGGTCTTTGCAGGCTCGTGAGCGACAACGGAGAAGGGGAGCGAGGCGGTACAACGACAGGCCGGGTGCAGACAGACGGGCCTTGATTAGGGGAGGAGGGGTCTAGTGCGCGACGGAGGGTGGGAGTGGTACAAGCGTAGGGGGTACGAGGCGAGGACGAGGAGCGCAGAGGGAGAGGGAGAGGGAGAGGGGAAGGACAGGCGAGGGTCACACGGCCATGCACTCAATCCGAGGCGTTTCGGGCTGCAGGGCGCCACGCCGAGTCAGTACCTTGTCTTGTGCACACGCAAGGGAGAGAGAAGAGGGCGCCCACGCACCTCGTCGTCCGCGAGGACCCACTCGTCCTCCGTCCCCTCCTTGAGCACGATCCGGCGCGCAACCTCGAGGCACAGCGGCTCGCGGCCACTGCGCTCCCCTCGCCGCCACCGCACCGCATACCGTCCGTCGCCTCCTCCGCCGCGGCGCACGAGCTCCTCGCCGAGCACGGCGCCACAGATGGCGGCGACGGCGAACCAGACGAGGAACGCGCACGCGATTGCGCCGCAGAAGCGCCTCCTCGCCCTCGCGTCGGCGCGGGCGTAGGGCCGACCGGGAGCGTGAGGCCCGCCGCCGCTGCGGGACGGGTGGCCGTTGTACGAGGTCGAGGCGTGCCAAAGTGCTGGCGGGGGAGGAGGGAGCGAGGCGACGGGGGTTGGGCCGTAGGCTGCGCGAGGAGGGGGAGGCGTGGGGCTTGGGGCGTGCGAAGAGGACGGGAGGGGCGCGGTGGCCTCGTAGGGCGGGGCTGTGGGCGCGGGTGAGATGAGCGGCGACGTCAGGGAGAGATGAGGAAGAGGGGGGGACGCACGCGCTGACTGAGGGAGGAGCGCGTCGTTCTCGGTGGGCTGAGGGGCCTTCTTGGCGGTCATGGCTGTGCGCGTAGAACGGATCTGGTGGGCTGTAGGAGAGGGGGAGCGGGAGGTAACCTCGCCACCGTCCCCACCTCGCCTCGTCCCTCTCGCTGCTCTCGCTCACCAACATGGCCGAGCCAGACGACGGCTCGACCACCGCCGCACTCGACACCCTCGCGGCCCTCTTTCCCGAGCGCGACCGCACCGACCTCGCCTCCTACCTCTCGTCGTCGCGCGGCAACCTCGACCGCGCCTTTCGCGCCATCGAGGCCCGCCAGAGCATCGTCCACGGCTCGAACGGCCCGGCCAAGCGCAAGAGGACGACGGCGCGAGGGCTCGACGCGTGGCTCCGGCCTGCCGCGGGCGAGAGGGACGGCGGCGAGATGCTCGTCCTGTCCGACTCGGACGACGGCGACGACGACGCGCGAGAGGGGGACCACGCGCGGGTCAAGCCGCGCCGCAAGGAGCCGACCAAGTCGGCATTCGACGTCTTACGCTCTGCGCCCGTGCCCTCGGCGTCCAGCACCACGCCCTCCTCCACCACCTCGACCGCGACCTCGAGCGCTCCGCCAGCCTACATCTCGCTCCCGCCGCTCGTCCTCCCGACGCCGGCCCTCGTCGCGCACCACACGAACGGGCTCGTCACGCTCGTCGAGGACGCGCTCCCGCCCGAGCTCGCTGCGAGGCTGTTTGCGAGGGCGGTGGGCGACAGTCGGGGAGAGGGCCTGGGCGGCGAGGGACCTTGTGCGTCGCGTTCTTTTCTCTGTCCCCTCAGCACTTCTCATCGTCGTCTCTGCCCTCCCTCTCAGTCGTCTCTCGACGATTCTCGTGTCGAACAGCCCCACCGACGCACGCCTCCTCCCCGTCCGCGCGACTGACACCACGCCCTCTCTCGCCCCCGCCAACAGGGACCAAGAACAAGTGGTTCCTCGTCGACCGCGAGGTCGAAAGCCCACACACGTCGTGCTTCTTCCGCGAGGTGCCCGAAAAGCTCGCCGCCTCGTCGGGGTATGACCCGGCTGCGTTTGACGAGGTGCGTCCCTCGCCTTCTCTCTCTCCCTCATGCACCTCCAGAATCGCGCCCTTGACGCAGTAGCCGCCCCCAACAGTCGGCGCAGTACTGGTACAACGGCGCGCACCGCGGCGCGCGCGCCTTCACGCCCGAGATGGACGAGGCGCGTCAGCTCGTCGGCGAGTTTGTCCGGGTCCTCCTCGACGGTCGGCAAGGGCGGCGGCACGAGCTCGAGTGGGACGGAGAGTGGCGGCCCAACGTCGCTGTCGCCAACTGCTACCGCGGCGCGAAAGAAGTACGTCCCCGGCGCCGGCCTCCCGTTCTCACTCTCTCTCTCTCTTTCGGGCGGTCTCGTGGGAGCCGCACTGACCCTCGCACACGCACGCAGTCGGTCGGCTTTCACTCGGACGTCCTGCAGTACCTCGGGCCCTACCCGACCATCGCCTCGCTCACGCTCGGCGTCACGCGCACGTTCCGCCTGCGGCCCTTCCTCCCCTCGTCCCCCTCGTCACCCGGCGCCCCGCCGCGCGAGGTCCGCACGCTCGACATCCCGCTGCGGCACAACTCGCTCCTCGTCATGCATGCCGGGTGCCAGGAGCGGTTCAAGCATGCCGTGCCGCCCGTGAGAGGCGGGATGGACCTGTTCCGGGTGCCGAGGGCGGCGATGGCGGGCTTGAGCGAGAAGGACAGGAGGGAGGTCGAGGGCAAGGGGTTCAGGGAGCGGATCAATGTGCGTCGGCGCCGTTCGATCTCTCTCTCTCTCTCTCGGGCCGCCCGAGCCTAGCGTCTGACCTCTCCTCCCTCGCCCCTCCCGCGCGCAGCTCACGTTCCGCCACTACCGCCCCGACTACGCGCCTCTCTCGTCCGCCTCGCCGCCAGGCTACACCGGCACCCCCAAGTGCGCGTGCGGCGTCCCGTGCACGCTGCGCCCCGACGGGCGCGGCCGCGCGCGTGCTGCCCGCCAGCCACAGCAGGCCGCCGCCGCCGCCGACGACGACGACATGATGTTCTTCTGGGTGTGCAACGCGGGCGCGCAGAACGAGGGACGCGGGTGCAAGTTCTGGAGGGAGCTCGACGTGCGGCGCGAGGCGAGGGGGAGGTGGTTCCCTGGACGAGGGGCGGCGGCGGGCTCTGAGCCGGGCGAGCAGGAGCGGAAAGAAGATGGGAACATGGCGAGCTCGTAGCTGAGCTGCAAGGAGTTGAGGCGGGCACGTTTTGTCGAGAGCGAGTCGTTCGGGCGAGCCGCCCTCGAGCGGAGGATTCTCGCTTCCGGCGACACCTCTATCGCTTGCTCGCACGCCCGTCCAGGTCCAGCATGGCCCCGCGTCCAGTGCCGACCCGCACCAGCACCAACGACATCAGCGTCGCGCGCACGACGGCGTCGCCGTCGCCGGCCGCGTCCGGGTCCGGCTCGCAGCGGGCGGGAGGCGATGGCGACGAGCTGCCCGAGGGCAAGGAGAGCCTCGCGGGTCCGGTCAAGGGCAAGAAGGACAAGGGCAAGGGCACGGGCAAGACGAGTCAGCGCCCGAGCTGGTCGGTGCGTCCCGAGCTTCCTCTCTCACCGCGAGTCGAGGACGAGTGGGAGGTGAGGACGGACACTGACTCGCCCTCTCGCTCGAGCAGTGCACCGAGTGTACGAGGCGCAAGATACGCTGCGACCGCGTCGTGCCCGGGTGCAACCAGGTCCGTCTGCGCGGCCGCCCCCTCTTCAGCAACCTCGGACACAGCTAACCCGCTCCCCCACCCGCCTCGCAGTGCATCAAGCGCAACAAGGTCCACCTCTGTCGACTCGACCAAGATGCCGAGATGGGTTTCGCCGCCGACGGCTCGCTCCCGGCGCCCGCCGCGCCGTCAGCGGCGCCCACGGGCCCTCCTCGACTCGCGTCCGCGACCGAGTACGAGGCCATCTCGCGCAACATCCAGGTCGTCCGCCAGCGCCTGTACCACCTCGAGCGCGTCGTGCGCGCGTTCGTCCCGCAACCCGACTCGCTCGACCCGCACGGCAACGCCATGTGGGCTGTCGACCTCAACCTCCTCCATCAGCAGCATGACCACCCTTCTGCCGCCGACGCCTCGAGCGGGCCCGGCTCGACCCCGTCCTTCGCCCGCGACTCGCTGCCCCTCCCGATCCCGCCACCACCGCCACCGCAGCAGCCGACGACGGCGACGAGCGGGCAGCCGCGCGACAGTGAGGTCGAGGCGGCGACGACGCTCGAGTTTCTCGCGCTCGGGCGCGACTCGAAAGAGAGCCACTTTCGCAGGTCCGAGCTGCGGCGGCCGTCGAGCGAGGACGACGACGACTGCGGCGTCGGCGGCGCCGAGCCGGGCAGCGAGGCGCTCGCGGCGGACGGGAGCGCGCGCGCCTCGCCCTCGAGTCGGCCCACCCACTCGCTCGCGGCCGACGCAGCGACGCCCAAGGGCTCGTCGTCGACGACGATCGACGTGCTCCCGAGCATCGAGACGAGCAAGCGCCTCGTCGACTACTCGCTCGACAAGTGCCTGTGGCAGCACGGCGCCGTCCACTCGGGCCAGTTCCGGCGCGAGTGCGCCGAGTTCTACTCGTGGGGCGAGCGCCGCGCCGAGAAGGTCAACCAGGCGTGGCTCGCGCTGTACTACGGCATGCTTGCCGTCGCCGTCAAGCACATGGTCGCCGACGACGCGCCGTCGTTCGGCTACTCGGCCGACGAGCAGCAGGCGCTCGCCAAGGGCTGGTTCGACGCGAGCGTCGCGGCGCTGCACCGGTCCAACTTTATGGCCAAGCACCAGATCTATGCCGTGCAGGCCATCAACCTGTACGCCGTGTCATGCCAGGACATCGGCGAGTCGGACCTCATCGCGACGCTCCTCGCGGCCGGCATCCGCATCGCGCAGCACCTCAAGATGCACCTCTTTGGCGACGACGCGGAGTGGGACGCCAAGCGGCGCAAGAACGGCATCGACCCGGCGAGCGACGCGGGCGTCAAGGGCTTGATCGAGCGCGAGATCCGCAAGCGCGTCTGGTACGGCCTCCTCACCGAGTGCGTCGTCGTCCTCTTCGCTCTCTCTCTCTCTGAGTCCTCGTCGCTGACCATCTTCCTCGCGCGCAGAGACTGGATCTCGCTTCACGGCCGTCGCGCCTACGCCGTCTCGCCGACCCACTTTACGACGCCGCTCCCGCTCAACTGTACCGACGACGACCTGTCGTCCGGCGTCCTCGTCAACCGCACCAAGGACGAGCCGACGCCGGCGTCCAAGACGATCCTCCTGTACCACGTGGCCGACATCCTGCGCCGCTTCTTCGAGCACATCCACTCGTCCAAGCAGCTCGACTACGCCTACTGCGTCGAGGCCGACCGCGCCCTGCGAGGCGTCATCCTCAACGGCCCGTCGTTCCTCAAGGTCGAGAGCGGGCCGGGCGACGCTGCGGGTTCCCCCGACTGGACGGCCTGGTTCCGCTCGTACTGGATAATTTCGATCTCGCACAAGCTCCTCGTCGTGCACCGCATGTTTGTCGCACCGGCGGGCCAGCAGCAGGACGAGCGGCAGATGTACTCGCGGCGCGTCACGATCGAGGCGGCGAGGTCGGTCATCCAGCAGCTCGCGCGGTCGCCTCGAGCCTCGACCCAGTCGTACTGGACTGTGCGTCGACCTCTCCGCCTTTCGTCTCTTCACCTCTCGCAGCGACTGACACTCTCCGGTCACTCCTGCAGCTGCCCTACCACACGGTGAGCGCCGCAACCTCGATCATGCTCGACATCTTCCAGTCGCCGGCCGACCCGGACGTGCCCAACAAGCGGCTCGAGGTCCAGCACGCCCTGCACGAGCTGCAGCAGCTTGCCGGCGGGAGCCACATCGCCAAGCGCGGCGTCGCCCTCCTCAGCACGCTGCTCGACGAGGAGGCGCGGCATCGAGCGCCCGCCGCCGCCGCCGACAACGACCTGGGCGGCGCGAGCGCTGCGGCGGACCTTGCGTCGAACGGCCACGGCGCCCTCGCCCAGGCGGGCGCAACGGGCCTGTCACTCGGCTCGCCGAGCATGACGTCGTTGACGACGCCGTTCTTCATCCCGACCCTCAGCTCGGCGCCACCCGCCCCCTCCTCGTCCGCCCCTTCGACCCTCCCTTTCCTCCCCACACACGCTCCCGCCGCCGCGCACGCACCCGCACAAGCCGCCGACACGTCCGCCGCAGGTCTCGCGACCGCCCCGCTGTCGCACGAGGCGCTGCACGCCCTCTTTGCCGGCCTCGGCGGCGAGTCGGCCTTTTCGCACGAGGCCATCATTGGCGGCGTCGGCGGCGGCGGCGGCGACGTCGGGCCGCTCGGCGGGCTCGACTTGAGTCTCGGCGGCGTCGGCGAGGACCCGGCGGCGGTCGACTTTTGGCGGCTGCTCAACGCGGGAGGAGGAGGAGGCGGGGAGGAGCTTGGCGGTGAGGGCGTGGTCGGCATGATGGGGATCGAGGGAGGCATGGGCGAGTGGGCCGTGTGGCCGCAGTAGCTCTCTGTCTGTGCAAAAGCAGTGCGCGCGTCATGAGAGCTTGAACCAGGCCCGTTCGGAGCCACCGACCGCCGGCGTGCGAGGAGGTCGAAGTGAGATTTCGGCGAGCGCGTCTCTCTGGGGCACAGCTGGCGAGCAGGACCTCTCTACGGTATATCGAGCGCACGAACCACCACCAGGCTGCCGTGTGTGGCCGTGGGAAGGCGAGGTCGGGCTCCATCTTCATCGGTCCGCTCGTTGTTGCTCTCCCGTCCCACCCTCGCTGTCCACCCGCTGGACTCGAGCAAGCAGCAGCCAGCTACCCAGCTAGCCTGCATCTACCCGCTGCACCATCCACCATGGCCGCCTCGTCGACCTCGAAGCGCAAGTCTCCCCCTCCCTCCCTCACCTCGCCCGGCTCGACCTCGAAACGCCAACGCCTGTCGCCCGGCGCCGACTCGCCAGGGCACGACTCGCTGTCGAGCCTCACCGAGGACTCGCGCGCCAGCAGCCCCGAGGTCGAGCTCGCCGAGGCGACCAAGACGGCCCCCGCGACCGCGACCGCGTCGTCCACCTCGACGGGGACCAAGGACGGCCGGCGCAAGCCGAAAGGGCGCGCAGGAGCGGCATCGGCGGCGGCGGCGGCGGCGGAGGCGGCGGCTCAAGGCCTGGACGACGCGCTCGAGGCGGCCGTCGTGGGCGGCCACCAGGTCGTGTCGGCCAAGACGGTGCCCGAGCACCAGCCGAGCGCCGGCAGCAAGGGCGTCAACGGTGCGTGGCCGACGCAGGGCGGCAAAGGGCGGCGGGGCGAGGAGGCTCTCGAGCATGCCGTTGCGGCGCGCGAGGAGGTCGAGCGCAGGAGGGCGCAGCTCAAGGAGGCCAACGGTGCGGGCGTTGCGGGCGCGAGGGAGATGGACGTTGACCTGACGAGTCTCAAGATCAAGGAGGAGGACGGCGAGGAGGTCGAGGTCGTGCACGGCGAGGAGGCAGAGGTCATGGCGGCGCCGGTGCGTCCTCCTCTTTCCTCTCCCTCGAGGTGGACCGGGTCTCGGCGCCTCACACTGACCTCTCTCTTTCGCTCTGCAGCCTCGGAAAGAGCGTCCAGCAGCCGCAGAAGAGCGCGCCGGCATCATCCGCTTCGCCGTCGTCACCAACGACGCCTCGCCCGAGTCGATGATCATCCTCACGGGCCTCAAGAACATCTTCCAGAAGCAGCTGCCCAAGATGCCGCGCGAGTACATTGCGCGCCTCGTCTTTGACCGCGCGCACTGGAGCATGGCCATCGTCAAGCGCGGCCTCGAGGTCGTCGGCGGCATCACGTACCGCCCGTTCGAGGGCCAGAAATTTGCCGAGATCGTCTTCTGCGCCATCACGGGCACCGAGCAGGTCAAGGTGCGCCCCCTTACTCTACTCTCTCGTCCCCTCCTGTTCGTCGTGTGAGAGAGACGGGCTCACTCGTCACTCGCTCGCGCCGCAGGGTTACGGCTCGCACCTCATGAACCACCTCAAGGACTACGTCAAGGAGTCGACCTCGTGCCGCCACTTCCTCACGTACGCCGACAACTACGCCATCGGCTACTTCAAGAAGCAGGTACGTCCTCTCTCGCTCCCCCGTCCTGTTGTCGGCGACGACGACTGACCCTCTCTCCTCCGTCTCGCTCGCAGGGCTTCACCAAGGAGATTCAGATGGAGCGCGCAGACTGGGCCGGGTACATCAAGGACTACGAGGGCGGCACCATCATGCACGTGCGTCGCTCGCTCGCTCGCCTCCTTCCTTGTCCTCTCGCGGTCCGAGAGCCTGACCTCGAACTCTGCGTCCGCAGTGCTCGATGCTCCCTCGCGTCAAGTACCTCGAGGCGCGCCAGATGCTCGCACAGCAGAAGGAGGTGCGCCCCCCTTCCGCCGCACCTTTCGCCCTCGTCCTCGTACTGACCCGGTCCCCTCTCGTCGCGCTCGCAGGTCATCCTCGCCAAGATTCGCCTCCTGTCGCAGTCGCACGTCGTGCACCCGGGCCTGACGTTCTTTGCGTCGCGACCGGGGGCCAAGATCGACCCGGCAAAGGTGCCCGGCCTGCGCGAGTCGGGCTGGACCCCCGAGATGGACGAGCTGTGCGTCTCACCCCTCCTCTCTCTCCCTCTTTCTCTCTCTCTTTCGCGTCCTTGAATTGACGTCCCGCTCCCCGTACGCAGCACGCGTCGGCCAAAGCGAGGCCCGCAATTTGCCGTCATGAAGAAGCTCCTCACGCTCCTCATCGACCACCCAAGCTCGTGGGCGTTTGCCAACCCGGTCAACGCGCAAGAGGTGCGTCTCGCTCGGTCCTCATCTCGTCTACCTCAGCATCCACTAATTCGGAGCTTGCGCATGCGCAGGTCACCGACTACTACAACGTCATCAAGGAGCCGATGGGTCCGTCCTCCCTCTCGCTCTCTCTTTCTCGCTCCTCCTCTCGTCAGTCCGGAGCTAACCCAGCCTCGACCTCGCCTCGCAGACCTTGCGACGATGGAGAGCAAGCTCGAGGCCAACAGCTACGAGACGCTCGACCAGTTTATCTACGACGCCAAGCTCATCTTCAAAAACTGCCGCCAGTACAACGACGGCGGGTCCAACTGTGCGTCCCTCTCCCTCTCGCTTCGGAGAAGCACCAGACCTGACCCTGCACCTCGACGCGTGCGCGCACGCAGACGTCAAGAACGCCAACAAGCTCGAGAGCTACCTCGACTCGCAGGTCAAAGTGTACGGGTCGGCGACCGCCATCTGACGTGTCTCTCTCGGTTCCTCTCCTTCGTCGTGCCGTGCAGTGTTGCTATAGTACCCCTCGCCTCTTCTCGAGCGTTCGAACGAGCGGTGTGCGGGCGAGCGAGAGCGTGACCGAGCGAGCGAGCGGACGCGGCCCTCTCGCGCCATGTCTCGTCAGTGCGAGCACGCAGGTGTGAGAGAGGATTGCGGCGACTCGGGGCGCTCGCTTGCACGGCGGGACAGGCGGGGAAAGAAGGAGTGGGCGTCTCGAGAACGACGAGGGCGAGGAGGAACGACGAGGGCGAGGAGGAACGACGAGGCCCGCACGAGCCTCGCCCGCTCCTCGCGGCCCTCCTCGCCCGCGACTCGCCCGCCAAGTCAGGTCGCGGCTGGTCGCTGCGGCTCCTTTACGGCCTCCAGACGGGCCCCGACCAGTGATCGCAAGTTTGGCGCTGCGAGGCGGTCGACGGGCAAGGGCGCGAGGTCGGGCAAGTCGTCCTCAAGCTCTACCACCAGTCGCTCTTCCCCTTTCCGGACTCCCAGTCGCGGTCGAATGTCGAGTACGATGTCTTCTGGTGGTGGCCGGCGCGTCACGCGGAGGCGTGCGAGTCGAGAGCGTACCGGTGCGCCTCGCCGCCTTCTCTCCTTCGGCAAGATCCGCGATCTGACGCTTTGCCTCTCGCCGCAGCGAGCTCTCGGCGTACCAGGGGCGAGATGTCCCTCTCTGCTACGGGTTCTACATGTTCCACCTCCCCGACGGCAACGACGTCGTCGGCGTCGTCCTCGAGGACCTCGTCGACCAGGTCGTTCCCTTCGTCGAGCTCGTCGACGATCCGACCCCGAGCGAGCGCGGCACGTACGAGCAGGTCGGCGAGCTGGCAAGTCCCTCGTCCTCTCAGTAGTCCGTGCAGGATCGTCCTTGACCGGCCCTCCTCCTTTTGCAGGCCTGCGCCACTTTCGAGCTCCATCGCCGAGTCACCGAGTGCGGGCTCCTCGACGCTGCCAAGTACGCCGAGGAGCTGCACCAGCTCAAGGACAACTGGTCGTGCGTCGTCGCTACCGGCTTTGGTCACTGCGACTTTCTCAACCGAGCGCGCGAGGTCCACCGGCGCAATGTCGAGCGCGAACGCGCGCAAGGGCCTCTCGACGCGTGGGCAGACGTCTTCTGGGCTGTGGCGGACGCTCAAGGGGGCCTCAAGAGCACGGTACAGACTCTGTTCCAGGCGATGGGGCACGACTTTCGGCGTTGGCGTGACGAGAAGCGAACGCAGGAGCGGCTCGCCTTTCTCGAGGACGGCGTCTTGTAGAAGCCCTGACGCTCTTTGCACTGCACACGAGCTAGCACAATACTCGAGCGAGTGTGACTGAAAGGGCGAGAGAGAGCGAGAGCAGCGACGGCGAGCGCTTGAGCGAGAAGCCGAGGCTCGAGCGCGAGCAAGCCGCGACCGCCGCGACGACGAGATCGAGAGAGAGAGAGCGTGCCTGCGCCGTTGCTGTACGACGAGCGAGGGAAGGATCAGGCCGGGCGCAGAGTCGCCAGGCGAGCTCGAGCGAGACGAGGATGCACGAGCAACTTGAGAAGGTCAAGGTGGACGAGGCGACAGGGTCGGGAGCGAGGATGGCAGGCTCTCATGCTCTCGAGGGTCATGCTGCGTAGCACCAAGGATCCATTGCGCCCGCACAGACGCTACTCTCGAGCGCGGTCCTGCCGCGCTCGCACCCCCTCCTCGCTCCGCCCGCCCGCCCGTTCACATGCCGTCGAGCCAGTTGGCCGTCGCCGTCCAGTCGTGCTGCATGATGAGCGAGTCGTCGAACAGGCTCGGCGGGATGGCGAGGCTCCAGTCGATCTCCATCTCGCCCGGCATGAGCGCCGCCGTTGGGGCGCCGAAAGGTGGCGCCGCCGCCGCCTGACCTGGCGCGCCTGCGCTCGAGGGCGAGAGCGGGCTCGTGCCGTTTGGTGTCGTCGAGGCTGGTACGAGGGAGTTGGCGAACGAGGGCGAGGACGAGGACGGGCGAGGAGGCGGCATCGAGGAGGAGGGAAGCGGGATCGAGGCTGGGTACGGCGGGACGTGGTTGGCGGCGAACGTCGAGAGCGGCGTCGAGAGGGTCGGGAGCGGTGGGACGAGGATGTTGCGCAGGGAGGAAGACGTTGGAGAAGATGCGGCGAGGGCGGTAGAGGCGTGAGGGAGGGGCACGCCCGACGGCGCCGACGACATGACGTTGCCGATGGGGGTCGGGGCTGTACGGGCGAGGAATTGCGCCCTGGCGGCTCTCAGGCACGCGCCGTATTTGGCCGAGCCCGCGACGTCCGACAGCATGTTGGCGAGGAGCGCGACGTCCTTGGCGACCTCGTCGCGGTCGACGAGGTGGGGCCACGCCGCGGCCGACTTGAGGAGGAACACGGCGGCGAACGACAGGTCGACGCGCAGGAGGTACCCGCTCCACTGCGTGCCCATGCGGTACACGGCCGAGCCGAGCACCTGCTGGAGCGCCATGCGCGCGTGCTGGAGCGCGTCGAGGACGATCTGGGTGTGCTCGTACGTCGCCGTCTCGGGCCGGTCGAGGAGCGAGTTGCGGAAGACGGACACAAGGAGCGTGAGCTGCGCGTCGTGCCACATGCGCAGGTGCGACTTGCGCGGCCACGCCAGGGTCGACGGCTCCCACGAGGCTGTGGACGGACGGCGGGCGAGAGGGTCAGTGCGGGATGCTTGAGGGCAGACGAGGAGGGAGGATAAGCAGGGACGCACCGATGAGGTTGTCGTAGTGCGCGTACCAGTCGTGCAGGATCTGCTTCTTCTCGCTGACGTAGGCGACCTGCTCGTCGAACGGCGTCGCCTTGTCGGCGAGCACGGCCGTCTCCTGCATGATCTTGCGGACAATGGCGCTCAGGCGCAGGTTTCCGACGTGACGGTAGTCGCTGCCCTGCGCGAACGGGAGCGACAGGGCGCGGTCGGCCTGGGCGACGAGGGCGTCGAGGTCGCGCTCGTCGATGAGGTTCATGCGGCCGAGGTTGCGCGAGTGCTGGTTCTCGAGCTGAACGGCGTAGATCCACGTGCGGAGCTGGGCCGTGAGCCGGCGCGCCTTGTCGTCCGTGGCCTGCCAGCCGTGCGCCTCGAGCTGCTCGATCGACGTTTCCATGCGGGCCGAGAGGGCGAGGCGCAAGCTCATGCCCGACAGGACGTACGGCTCCTGGTGGTAGCACGCCATGATGAGCATCGCTGCGCACACAAAGAGAGTGTCAGGGGACGCCGCACGTCTGTACAAGAGGAAGAGAGGACGGACCCTGAACGACCTCGAGGTCCGGGTTGTTCTCGAACACCGAGTCGCGCGCGAACCGCCTCGTCTCCTCGGCAGCGGCCAGCAGCTCCTTGCTCGGCGTGCCGTTGCGCTCGCTCATACGCAGCGCCGTGTAGATGACCTGCCAGGCGGACGCGACAGGTCAGTACGGGCTCGACTGCCGCGTCCTCGAGGCGGCGGCCGAAGACGCACCGTGTTGAAGAGGAACGGCGAGCGCCGGCGCAGCGACTCGTACGTGTCGTAGCCGGCGTCGAGGACGGCGCAGAAAGGCTCGAGCTCGCGCAACCATCTGCGAGGAGGGCCGAGCCGAGTCAGTGCCGGCAAGAGGTGGAGGAGGACAAGGACCGAGGGAACGGCGAGACGCACAGCAATACGAGCGTCCTCGCCTGGGTATCGCCGATCAAGCCCTTGGCGACGACGTCGAACCGCTCGGGGTTGACGCTCAGGCCGGCATTCGGCGCCGGCCCGCCCGTGACCGCCGCGCTCATCCTGCTCCGCTTGCGCGGCGGTTCGCCCCGCTCGCGGCTCTCCTTCCTCCCCGCCGCGCCCGCACCCGCACTCGTACCCGCGACGGCCGACGCCGATGCCCCAGCTCCCTCTGCGCGCCCCTCGCCCGTCGCGCCGTCCCGCGCAAGCCCGCCGCCCGCCGCACCCGCCGCACCCGCCGACGCCTCACCGCGCTCGTCCCTCGCCGGCTTGCGCTCCTCCGTGTCGTCCCTCCCCTCGCTCGCGCTCCCACTCGCACTCGCGTCCTCGTCGCCCTCGCCGCCGCCGAGCTGCGCGACCGCGTCGGCGAGCGCGCTGATGGGCTGGCGGATGCGCGACGCAAGCGCGACACGTCGGCTGCGCTCGCGCTCGCGCCCGAGCCCGAGCCTGGGTTGCCCGCCGACGCGAGGCTCGCGAGCGCGTCGAGGCCGGACGAGAAGGGCGCGCCGGCGCCCGTCGACGCCGTGCTGTGGCCGTCGCCCGAGGCCGAGGGTGCGGCGCCGGCCGGGGGAGGGTACGACGCTCGGCGCGGGAGGACGCCCGAGGACGACGACGAGGGGAAGCTGCCCGAGATGCCCATCGAGACCGGGTGGAGCGGGAGCGAGTGGAGGCCGCTCGCGGGCGAGGCCGACTGGGCGGCGCCGGCGTGCAGGTACATGGGCGGCGTGCCGTGATGGTGCGGCTGGGACGAGGTCGACAGGGCGGCGGGCGAGACCTGCTGGTGGGCGTGGGCGTGTGCGTGGGCGTGTGCGGCGGCGGCGTGCGCAGCGGCGGACCCTGGAGGGTAAGGGATGCCGGCGGGGCTCGTCATCGAGTTGGCGGGTGGCGGTGCGGCGTGCTTGAGGCGCGACAGGACGTCGTACAGAACGTCTGCGAGGTGTGAGGGAGAGGGCATGAGCGGGCGCGATGGGCTGCGGCGAGCGAGACGACCGACGCACTGTGGATCTCGCCCATCTGCTGGCACACGTGGTCCATGCGGCGCTCGTTGGTTGACAGGGCCGCCTCGATGGCGGCGAGCCTCGTCAACCCTCTGTGCGACGACGGGGAGCGAGAGTCAGTCACGGGCTCGAGGAGCGGCGAACGGAGAGGTGAGAGTGGGACGCACGCGTCCTCGACGACGGCCGAAGCGGGCTTGTCGAACACGCAGGTGGCGCCCGAGGCCTTGCAGCGTGCGCACGGCGCGATGCCGCCATCGCAGGTCTTCTTGAGGCGGCGACAAGTGACACACTGCCGACGAGGAGATGAGGGACGAGGTGGGGGTCAGCTCGTGGTTTTGAGAGAGCTGTGGCCGGGTCCAGTGCACAGGCAGGGCACGAGAGCCCAGTCACTCGTGCGCCCAACCTCGCAGCCGTCGAGGCGACGACGAGGGAACGCGAGGCGCCCGGGAACCGACAATGGAGACAGCGAGGGACTCACGGCTCGGGCGCTGCGCTTGACCTTTTCGCGGACGATGACGGGTGCAGAGCTGCTCCCCTGGCGGTCGTCGCGGTCGTCGTCCATGGCCGCGCGATGGGGGCGTGGGGTTTGAGGAGGCCGTGCAATGCGGAGGGAGGCGGGCGAGCGGGTCGCTGCCGATGCGATCCACAGTGTCTTTCGACTCGCTCTGGGAGGGTTCGTGCAGCGACTTGTCCTGCTCTCTGACGGGCTCACGAACAGGCTCATGCGACCCGCGAAACTGCTCGAGTCGAAGGCCGACAGCTCGCGCGCGAGAGGAACGCGCGCTCGCCTCGTCGCTCGCGCCGGCTCGAGACAGCCCTCGCCTGCGCACTCTCGCGGCGCACCGTGACACAGAAAACACTCCTCGCATCGTTACAGGTCCTCCTTACCGCGGCGCGACGTCCAGAACGCGCTCCTGCTGCGTCCTCGAGCCGTTGCTTCTAGTGGTGCGACGACTTCTTGGCGGCGTTGACCGTGTTGTCGTAAGCGACGTAGGCGGTAAAGGCGACGACGGCGATGCCGAATCCAGGGAACAGGTTGCGGAACCTGCGAGTCGGCGCACGAGGGAGCGAGCGAGAGGAGGTCAGCAGCGGCGTCCGACGGGGGCCGGGCGCGACTGTCGCAGGAGAGCGGCCCGCTCGTGAGATGCTTGTCGCAAGGTCGGTGTGACGCACATGGACTTGTTCGAGAAGATCGGGTTCTGCGGGCGAGGGAGACGAAGTCAGCCCGAGTGGTGGAGGCGGAGAGGAGAGAGAGAGAGAGAGGCCGGGACGGACCTTGCGCCACGCCTCGCGCTTTGCCCAGGGGTCTGTTGAAGGTAACGAGGACGGCGACAGGGTCAGTGAGGGTGCTGAGGTCGGATGAGGCGACGACGAGATGAAGCCGGGCGAGGACGAGGGGCAATGTACCGCGGTACAGAGGCTGGTCCGACATGCTGTGGGGGTGAAGCGGGTCAGTCAAGGTGTGGGCAGCGAGTGAGTGCAATGCTGTGCGCACCTGGTGGTGTGGGCGAGAGTCGCGGCTGGGTGAGGGACGGAGAGGGAGGGCGCGCGCGCTGCGACCAAGTCCCGCCCGTGGGAGGCAAAACGAGGGACTTGGCGAAAACGCGACCCTCTCTCCCTCCCCTCCCTCTCCTCCTCCTCCTCCTCCTCCTCGCTCACCCTCGCCATGAGCAACAAGCCGTACAAGAAGCGCGTCATCCAGGCCGACTCAGACGAGTCGGACGACGACCAGCCTCTCGTGAGCTCTCGTCCCCTCGTCTCTCCCCCGCTCCGCCCGGCGCCGAGCTCCCCTCCCACGACGCGTCGTGCACCTCGCACAACTCGCACGGCCTCGCGCGCCATCCACGCGGACTGTATCCAGCTCGCCCGACCGAAGCTGACCCGCGCGCCTCCCCTTCCCCTCCTGCAGATCAAGCGCACCAAGCCCGACGAGCCGGCCGACTCACCCGTCGCGACCACGGCCGTCGCCGTCCCCAACGGCGACGCGCCCTCGGGCCAGCTCGACACCGTCATGAACGACGCCACGGCCCTCGTCACCGACCCCAAGGCCAAGCTGAGCGTCTTCAGCACGGGCGCGTCCGACGACGACTCGGACGACGAGGCCGACGTCCCGCTCGCCCAGGTCGCCAAGAAGGGCGCCGCCGGCGTCGCGACGGGCAACGGCAAGCCGCTCGCCAACCGCGCCAACGACGGCGACAGCAGCGACGACGACAAGCCGCTCGCCCAGGTCACCGCGCCGGCCAAGAAGCGCGCGTCGACCACGACCACCACCACCGCGACCAAGGCCAAGGCCGGCGACTCGTCGTCCGACGACGACAAGCCTCTCGCCCAGGTCACGGCCGCCGCCGCCAAGCGCCCGCGCGCGTCGACGTCGCGCAAGAGCATGAAGGACGACGACTCGGACGACGACCTGACGCCCGCGTCCGACTCGGACTCGGACGGCGACGGCGACTTCTCGAGCGCCTCGGAGGCGCCGAAAAAGAAGAAGGCGGCGGCGAAGAAGGCCGCGGCGCCCAAGAAGGCGGCGGCGGCGACGGCGGCCAAGGGCAAGGCGGCGCCCAAGAAGGCGCCCGCCGCGAGGCGCGTCAAGAGCGAGGACGCCGAGTCGGCGTCGGCCTCGCCTGCGCCGGCCAAGAAGGGCAAGGGCAAAGCGAAGAAGGAGGACGACGACGACGAGGGCGGCAGCGGCGACGAGGTCTTCAAGTGGTGGGAGAACCAGCAGGACGGCGAGAGCAAGGTGCGTCCCCTCCTTTCTCTCCCTCCTTCATTTGTGCGTCCTGCCTCGAGTCCGAGCTTGACGTCCTCGTACCACTGCAGTGGCGCACGCTCGAGCACTCGGGCGTCCTCTTCCCTCCCGAGTACGAGCCGCACGGCGTCAAGATGAAGTACGAGGGTGCGTCCACTCTCCCTTGCGCCGTCTCGTCTCGACGCCTCGCGCGACACTGACCGAGCTCCTGCCTCGTCGACGTGCAGGCAAGCCGGTCGAGCTCGCGCCCGAGGCCGAGGAGGTCGCGTCGTTCTTCGCCGCCATCCTCGAGACCGACTACCCGAAGAACCCGACGTTCGTCAAGAACTTCTTCGCCGACTGGCTCAAGGTGCTCAAGGCGCACCCTTGCGTACGTCCTCGCTCTCTCTTGCGCATCCCTCTCGTCGTCGTTCTCCCTCAGCTCGCCCCCCTCCTCGTCCCTCGACCTGACTCTTTTCTCCCTCCTCGCCCCCCTCTCTGCGTCCCTCGTCCACAGCCCGACGGCACCAAGATCCGCGACTTCGACAAGTGCGACTTTACGCCCATCTTTGCCTACCTCGAGGCGCAGAAGGCGGCCAAGAAGAGCATGACGGCCGCCGAGAAGAAGGCGGCCAAGGCTGAGCGCGACGAGGCCGAGGCCAAGTACAAGACGTGCTTCCTCGACGGCCGCAAGGAAAAGGTCGGCAACTTCAGGATTGAGCCGCCGGGCCTGTTCCGCGGTCGCGGCGAGCACCCAAAGACGGGCATGCTCAAGGTGCGTCCCCCCCTTCCTCCCCCTCTCTCCTCGTTGCCCGTCTTGCGCCGTCAACTGACTCTTCTCCCCGCCCCGCATGGACAGACGCGCGTTCGCCCCGAGCAGATCACGATCAACATCGGCAAGGGCGTCCCCGTTCCTCCAGCGCCGGCCGGCCACCGCTGGAAGGACGTCGTGCACGACGACAAGGTGACGTGGCTCGCGACGTGGAAGGAGAACATCAACGGCAACGTCAAGTACGTCTTCCTCGCCGCCGGTTCCTCGCTCAAGGGCCAGAGCGACCTCAAGAAGTTTGAGAAGGCGCGCAACCTCAAGGTGCGCCCTCGCCCCTCTCCCTCTTTCTTCCCTCGCCCACCTCGAGTCGAGACTGACATTGCCCTGCCCACCCCTCCCTCCTTACTCGCCTGCCCACTTTTGCAGGAGCACGTCGACCGCATCCGCGCCGACTACACGGCCGACCTCAAGTCGAAGGAGATGGCGACCCGTCAGCGCGCCGTCGCCATGTACCTCATCGACCGCTTTGCGCTCCGTGCCGGCAACGAGAAGGGCGAGGACGAGGCCGACACGGTCGGGTGCTGCTCGCTCCGGTTCGAGCACGTCACGCTCACGCCGCCCAACAAGGTCACGTTCGACTTCCTCGGCAAGGACTCGATCCGGTACGTCAACGAGGTCGAGGTCGACGAGCAGGTCTTCAAGAACCTCAAGCTGTTCAAGAAGGAGCCCAAGACGGTCGGCGACCTCCTGTTCGACCGCCTCAGCGTGCGTCCTCCTCTCGCACCCTCTCTTCCTGCAGGGCTCAAGGACTGACATGTTCTCCTCACACACAGACGACGGTCGTCAACAAGTACCTCACGTCGTACATGGACGGCCTTACGGCCAAGGTGTTCCGCACGTACAACGCGTCGTGGACGTTCGCGCAGCAGCTCAAGAACACGCCCAAGGACGCGTCGGTCGCCGACAAGCTCCTCGCGTACAACCGCGCCAACCGCCTCGTCGCCGTCCTGTGCAACCACCAGCGCTCCGTGTCCAAGGGCCACACGGCCGCCATGGAGAAGCTCATCGACAAGGTGCGTCCCCTCTTTCTCTCTCTCTCGTCCCCGTGAACCGACCTGAGCCTGACTCGTTCCTCCTTTTGCTCGTGCTCCCGCAGATCCGCGCGCTCAAGTACCAGCGCATGAAGCTGCGCAAGCAGCTGTTTGCCGTCGCCGACAAGCCCAAGAAGTACAAGGAGCCGTACGGCGACGACGAGTCGGACCTCGACGACGACTGGATCAAGGAGCACGAGGTGGCGCTGGTCGTCGCCGAGCGCGAGAAGATCCGCAAGAAGTTTGAGCGCGACAACACCAAGCGCGAGGCCGACGGCGAGAAGAAGCTCGCGCAGAAGGAGCTCGACGAGCGCCTCAAGGCGGCCGACGAGCTCGAGAAGTCGATCAAGCGCGAGCGCAAACAGGGCTACAAGGAGTCGAAGCTGTCCGAGGACCGCCTCGTCGCCGCGCTCGTCAAGATCGACGACCGCATCCAGGTCGCCAAGACGGCCGCCACCGACCGCGACGAGGGCAAGGGTCCGTCCCCTCTCTCGTGCTCTCGTGCTCTCGTGCTCGTGGGAGGTTGAGCGTCGTCGTCGTGGCTGTGAGCGAGGAACTGACGAGTCGTGCCCGTACCGCTTCCCCTTCCCCCCGTCGTCCTCCTCCCTCTCTCTCCTCTCGCCCACCGACTCGTCCCTGCCTGCCCTTCTTCTCTACCACTCCCTCTCCCACTCCCTCTCCCTCTCCCTCGCCCTCGCCCTCGCCCTCGCCCTCGCCGTCGCCCTCGCCCACCGACCCGTCCCTGCCCTCCCTTGGTCTCTCCCTCGCCTCGCCCTCGCCCTCGGCGACCACCTCTCGCAGAGATCTCGCTCGGCACGTCGAAGATCAACTACCTCGACCCGCGCATCTCGGTCGCGTGGGCCAAGGCCAACGACGTCCCGCTCAACAAGGTCATGACCAAGACCCTCCTCGAGAAGTTTACCTGGAGCACTCACGTCGACGCGGACTTTGAGTGGTGAGCGACGGGAGGACGACGACCCGCTTGACGACGACGAGTGTACACTTTCCTCTCCCACACGTAGCTTGCCCCCCTCCCTCCTTCTCGCCTCGCTTTGCAACCCTCTCGCTTGCCCTGTGCATCCAGTCGAGAGACCCGAGAGAGAGAGTGCACGACCGAGAGCGAGAGGAGAGAGCGACCACAGAGAGAGAGACCAAGCAGCACGAGCGCTCGAGCCTCTCTCGCGCCCGACTCAAAGGCTTCTCGACTCGCTCGCACGCCGAGACCGTACTGCACAGGCTCGTATGTACACGCTCGTTCTGCTGCTCTCGCGCCCAGCTGCCGCAGCCGCACGCACCACCGCTCGACCCTGCCTGCCCAGCTCCCCTCGCACGCCGCGCCACGTCTTCCCTCAGAGCTCGACGTGCCCGACGCCGACGTCAATGTTCTGGTCCTCGCCGCCAGCCTCACCGCCCGCGTTGCGCTTCTCGAGGTCGGCGGCCCACAGGGCGGCGCCGGCGGCCGACGTGAAGGCCGTGACGGGGCCAAAGACGGGGATGAGGCCGAGGAGGATCGAGGCGGCGCCAAAGCTGCGGGAAAGGGGGGAGCTCGCTGTCAGACGCATTCGCGGTGATGCACACAGAGAGAGAGAGAGAGAGAGAGAGGACGCACGAGGTGTAGGCGCCCGAGCGCTTCTCGACAAAGCTCTGGCGCGACTGCTTGTCGAGCTTCTTGAGCTGGAAGTAGCGGTCGTGGGCGGCGCTGCAGGTCGACGAGCGAGTCAGCGACGCGCCGCAGCGAACGGGATGAGCAAGGGACGAGAAGGACTCACGGGCCCGCCTTGCGACCGTTGAGGAGGAGGAAGACGGCCGTGCCGACACCGGGGACGAGGTTGAGCGGGAGCGTGACGAGGTACCGCACGAGGCCCTGGGCCGAGAATTTGCGGCTGACCGGGCTCAGGAGGCTCTTGCCGAGCGTGACGCTGCCGCCGCGCTTGTCGAGCGCGCGGCCCTTCTCGACGAGGGCGGCGTGGCCCTTTTGGACGAGGACGGCGTCAAAGATGCGCTCCGAGACGGCCGGCGTGAGGAAGGTGCGGTGGAGGAACAGGATGATGAAGTAGGCCTCGGCGAGGACGAGTGGAACGGCGGCGAAGAAGGCTGCGCACGGTTTCCGAGTGTGCGTCAGCTGGGGAACGGCGAGAGGAGGGAGGGAGGAGACGCACCGAGCGGGCCCGAGACGACGGCGAGGACGGCGACTTGCGGGAGGTAGGCGAACGTGGCCATGAACGACACGGTGACGAGCGAGATGCTCAGGCTGCGGACCATGAGCGGCTTGAGCGACTCGAGGAGCTTTGGGTGACGCGCAAAGTAGACGATGCCGTAGCTGTGTGGCCCGCTCGAGTCAGCTCGTTCGCCTTGGAGTTCGAGAGAGAGTGTGTGTGTGCGCACAAGGGGTACACGTAGGCTCCCGACTGGGCGGCGGCGATGCCCTCGGACGAGACGCTCTTGATGTCGGCCTTTGCGGCCTCGAGGCCCTTGTCGAGCTGGCGCTTGACGAGGCCCGCCTTGTCGTTGCTGGAAGTGGCAGAGGAGCTCATGGCAAAAGCGGGCTTGGTCACGAGAGCGACGCGTAGTTGGAGGAGGGAGAGCGAGAGCGGGAGAGAGAGAGAGCGCGCGAGTGCTGCCCCGCTCGCGAGACTGGAGGCAGCGAGCCCGCCGTCATCAGCACCGCCCTCCGATCACAAGGGATCGCCGCAAAGGGGGCAAGCGTCTGAAACCCGCAGCCGGCGCGCCCGAGCGAGAGGGTGCGCTCGAGCCTCGTCCAGCTCGCGCCGACGTCGAGTTGAAGCGAGTGGTCGCACTGTCGAAGACCAGCGCGCAAAGCTGCGAGGTGTCCTTCAACGAGCTGCCCCGACGGTCTCGGCACTTTTGTCAGCGTGCGGGTCGAGCCCTCGCCTCGGGCTGTCGCCCGCCCGTCCTCCTCCTCCTCTCTCTCCCTCTCTTCACACCAAGCTCCTACTCGTGCGTTCCCTCAGTCACACTCTGAGCAAGGCCCACACTGACCACTGGACGCGCCCGCAGCTCCCACCCACACTCCCACCTCGTGCGCCGGCTCCCTCTCGCCTCGTCCCCACTTTCGGACACGTTCCCTGATCCTTTGCTCCCCTCTCGCGGCACGTCCAGCAGCCAAACTAGCATCAGTGAGCTCGCCGCTCTCGTCTCAGCAGATACAGCGCAAGTGCAACACTGCGAGCCATTCGCTGACCCTCTCCTCCTCCCTCCCTCCTTCCCTCCCTCTCCTCGCACCCACAGTGGCCCCCACTATCCAGGTCGGCGACACGATCCCGGACGCCCAGCTCGGCTACGTCCCTTACTCGCCCGAGCTCGAGGACCCGATCGTTTGCGGCCTTCCGTGCGTCGCTCGCCCTCTCTCCTCCTCGCACGTCGTCCGGGTCACGCCATCCTGACCTGGCCTTTCCTCCCACTCCCGACCTGACCTGGCTCTTGTTCCCCGCTGCAGGTCCAAGATCAGCACCCACAAGGACTGGAAGAACAAGAAGGTCGTCATCTTTGGCATCCCCGGCTCGTTCACCAAGACTTGCTCGGAGAACCACCTCCCGCCGTACGTGACCGAGTACGACCAGTTCAAGTCCAAGGGCGTCGACAGCATCGTGCGTCCCGCCGCTCTCTCCCCCTCTCGTGCCGTCCTCGAGCCCGGCACTGACCTCTCCCTCTCCCTCTCCCTCTCCCTCTCCCCTCCCCTCACCTCGCACCTCTCACAACCCGCTCGCGCGCCCCCGCAGTACTGCATCGCGTCCAACGACCTCTTTGTCCAGTCGGCGTTTGGCCGCGTCCAGAAGACCGGCGACAAGGTCGTGTGCGTCGGCGACCCCGAGCTCAAGTTGCTCGAGCCGGCTGGCCTCACGCAGGACCGTGCGTCGGCGCGCCTTTCTCTCTATGTCACCTCGTCGGGGGCTCGAGCGCGGTGCTTGAGCTTGAGCTGACGTGGTTGATCGTGATGGCGAACGCAGTCTCGCACGTCGGGTTCGGCGTCCGCGCCAAGCGCTTTGCCCTCGTCGTCGACGACCTCAAGGTGCGTCCCCTCCTCCTCTCTCTCTCCCTCTCTCTTTCCCTTCCCCCCGTCGCCCCCCTCGTCTCTCCCCCTCGCCCCTCCCCTCTCTCCGCCTCGCCCCTCCCCTCTCTCATTCCCAGACTGACGCTCCCGACGCCCACCAGGTCACGTACGTCGGCATCGAGGAGGGCCCGGGCGTGTCGAGCTCGGGAGCCGAGGCGGTCCTCGCCAAGCTCTGAGCGCCCGTCTCTCTCTCCTCGAGGAAGGTCGGCGATGGCTGTGCACCGCTTCGAGGCGCAGTCGTGGAGATTGATGAATACAAAAACAAAGCAGTTGCGAGTGACGACGAGCGCCGAGAGACAGAGCTTGCGAGAAGGCGGTCCGTCCCTCTTGAGCTCTCGCGCTTCGTGCGACTCTCTCGGGCTCGGCTGCGACGCTCGCTCTCGCTCTCGAAGGACGCGTACACTCTATGCTGCGGCGGCGGCGTTGCACGCCCTCGTCCGTCTACCTGCCCCGGTCCTCCTCCTCCTCCTCCTCCCTCCTCCTCTGCCTCTCCTTCAACCTCTCCCCAACCCTCTCAAGCTCCTCCCTCTCTTCCCTCACCCTCTCCCTCTCCCTCTTAACCCGCTCCAGCCTCTCCCTCAACCGCCTCGCATACTCGTCCTCGTCGAGCTGGGTGACCGGGCTCAGGCGCGACGCCTGCAAGCGCGCCCACGCCCAGGCCGACGAGATGAGGCGGTCGGACCGCTCGGAGAAGGTTTCGCGACCGGGGTCGGACGCGATGTGGTGAGAGGGGGGCGAGGCGATGGGGTGCGTTGGGGAGGGGGGGGGGGGGGGGGGGGTGGGGGGG